GTGAACAATATTTTAGAGAAATAGGCCTTTTGTGTACATAGAAAAAGTCTTAGATCTTTGAGTTCAGCACATGAAAAATGGGGGGCAAAAACAAAAGCATTGCGTTTATAATTTTGATCAGTGTTAAGGACCCCACAATAAAGGGATTTTCCAGGTACGACACCAATGTTAAGACTTTTATAACTTTTGACCTGACTAATTAAATATGTTTTTGCATGTCTATTTTTTATAGGTTTTTTTGACAGTATTTGGCATCATAAACCTGCCTCTTCTGTCAACATCATAAAATCTGCTACTTGTTGGTTGGTGTACCATTTGCTCCCATTATAAAAACAACTTCTAATAAATCCCATTACCTTATACTTTGTGTGCAGTAAAGCTTTAAAAATGTTCGACAGTATAAATTCTATTGACCAGAAATCTCCTGACTGGCCAAGCTACTTCCTGCAGTTGCCAGAGACAAAGACTGGTGATGAGATTTGTGTAAAATAATGAACTTTAAAAAGGAGTATCTTTACCTTTTATTGTTTTGGAATGGTTGTTTTTGAAATTCATTAATGCATTATTTAAAAAAAATCACATTAAATAAGAATGGGCCATTCCAGCCTGGAATGTCCCATACATTTTTCTAAAGCTCACTGATGGAGATGCAGGTGAAAGGGGGCAATCTTATCAAGGGTAGATTAGAACACTTACAGCAAAGATGAAAGGAGACACCAGGTGTGGCAAATCCATGTGTCAAATCAAAGTTGAGCATGTTAATTTTTATAGGTTTATACTTACATTTCTTTTTCCTCTTCACAAATTATCTTACATATGAATTGAATCCATCTTATTTAAATAAAAAAAATAAAAAACTAAAATCAAAGGAGTTATTTTGCCTTTTGTTTTGTTTGTCTCATGATTTACTTATTTTTGTTGCCTAAATCATATAACAAAAATTACTTTCATAGAACAGATTTTAACTTGTAATCCTAAAAATTGTTGCACATTGGTCATCAAATAGAGTGGTACAATATCTGCCAATAATTTGGACAGTCTATTAATATTAATCCCAAGAGAAACAAAAAGCCAAATTCTTGCATAAATGTACCCTGATAAAAAAAAAAAAATCTAACTTAAATCCGCATCACAACATTTGATATTTAGAAGTTTCTTGCAAGAAATTATTTTGCAAACTTAGCAACTCTTAAACTGTCTCTAAGGGAAAGAGCAGTTAAGGGTTTTCCAGGAGCGATAGAACCGTCTGGTTAGCATTAAGAAATACTTTATATTTGCATTTTTTTGCTAATAGGTGCAGGGAGTGTCCCATGGTTGCAGAGTTAAAGTGTAAAAATGACACCTGTACAGTTATTAGATTGGCCAAAGCAGGTAAATTACAGAAATCACCCCAGGGGTTGGAGAGAAAGGTGTGAAAAAGCCTTTTTTAAAACATGATTAAAGGAGTTAGGATGAACCCAGGAGATTTGGATCAGAGATAATTGTATCATTATTTAAAACGATTTGTAGAGCGTATCTAATGGCGAGCAGCGTGAGGTTTGCACTTAAAGGGGCAGTGCTAAGCGGCACCAAATTAATTTAGTTTTGCTGTAAATATGAGGGGTCAATTTATATGTTTCGTATCTATAACAAAATATTTGAGTAACCGTTGAAATGTTTAATATGTATTCATACTTAACATTCTAAAAATATATATATTGTAATAAATAAATTAGTCAGCTGTAAGTATATTAAATTCATAGAGACTTCCAATTAAAGTCCTACAAAATAAGACAAGAGTAGCTGCTTTGTATAAAACTAATGACTCCCCCCTAATAAATATTAGGGGGGGCATGGGTTTTATAAACAGAATATGTAAGGTTTTTTTATATTAACTTGCATAGTAATCTATTAATTAATATGCAAACTAATCTATAATGTATTACATACTGTTTGACTATTTGCCTATCTTACTATCTAATAAATATATATATATATATATAAAATCATTAATCATCTATCTGTTACACACTGTCCATTTAACTATCTACCTACTAGCTATCTCATATATATATAGTTTAGACATTCTATTATATTACTACCTTTTAGATAGATAGTAAGATCAGTAGATAGTCAGACAGTGTGTAATAGATTATATATTGACTTATATTTTATTTATTTGATTAATTTACATATATTTCTGCACGCTATTTACAAATATGTAGGTACTTAAGCAAACAGTGAGACAGATAGAGCCAAGAATAGAGCCAATCATTTTTAAATAGCACCAACATTTTGCACAGCACTTTTAAATAACAAAAAAAAAAATTTTCTGTAGTTGACAGAGAAAAATAATGTTAGGCACCAATAAAATTGTGGTGAGGTCAAACACGCTATATCTCCCCACAGTGCAAATATAAAACAATATTGTTATGCAAGATAGATAGATAGACAAACAGAGATATATTGATAGATTCTCTAAAATCTAGTTCTCTACTGCTTTTTATGTGACTTGATGGAGAGAGAATAGAGGAAGTAATGTTAGGCTATATCTAGAAAGGAAAATAATGCATTTAAGGTAGGTGGTACTGGTTCATGTAAATAGCAGCCTATTCTGCAAATCCAGCACTCGATTTAGACATTTTGACTGTGCAATAATGACAGTGAACGTCAGTGCGGGACTGGTCCACGGGGAGAGTGGGCCGCGGCATCTGGGGCTGATCAGACAGCCCTAAATTAGGCTAATTTCATTTAAATTATTTTCCCCTCGGACTGTGCCAGCCTGCGTCAATCCAGGGGGATTAAGGAGGGAGATGCTGGGGGCTGGTACGGCTGCAATTAGGCTGCTGGTGGACGGAGGGAGACCTGTCAGTCTCCCCACACAATGCTAAGCAATTCTGCGCTGCCTGCCCAGCCAACACTTAAGCACCACCTCCTGAACACAAGTCCTGCCTCCTGCAAGAATGCTCCACCCCCACATGCAGGCTGCTGACCTCACTGGAAAGAAGAGGCCAGAGAATGACAAATTCATCTACCATTGCCAGGTAAGCTTTAGCCATGACAGTGATTGTGTGTGTGTGTATGTGTGTGTGTGCCTACTAGTGAGTGAGCTTGTGTGTGTCTGTGTGTGCGTATGTGCATGCTAGTGAGTAAGCTTGTGTGTGTGTGTGCCTGCTAGTTAGTGAGCTTGTGTGTGTGCCTGCTAGTGAGTGAGCTTGTTTGTGTGTGTGTCTGCCAGTGAGTGAGCTTGTGTGTGTGTGTGTGTGTGTGTGTGCCTGATAGTAAGTGAGCATGTGTGTGTGTGACTACTACTGAGTAAGCTTGTGTATGTGTGTGTCTGCTAGTGATTGAGCTTGTGTGTATGTGTCTGCTAGTGAGTGAGCTTGTATGTGGGGGTGCTTGCTAGTGAGTGAGCTTATGTGTGTCTGCTAGTGAGTGAGCTTGTGTGTGTGTATGTGTGAGCCTACTAATGAGTGAGCTCGTGTGTGTGCCTGCATGTGTGTGTATGTTAGTGTTTGAGCTTGTTTATATGTGTGTGTCTGCTAGTGAGTGAGCTTGTATGTGTGTATGTAAGTGAACTTGTATGTGTGTATGTAAGTGAGCATGTCTGCAGGGAGCATGTGTGTGTTTTAGTGAGCTTGTCTATAGTGAGCATGTGTGTGTGTCAGTGTGCTTGTGTGTCAGTGTGCTTGTGTGTAGAGAGCATGAACGTCAGTGTGCCTCTGTGTGAGTGTGCTTGTGCGTAGAGAGCATGCATGTGTCAGTGTGCTTGTGTCTAGTGAGCATGTGTGTGTGTGTGTGAGACAGTGAGCTTGTCTGTAGTAAATGTGTGTGTGTGTACCAGTAAGCTTGAATGTGTGTGTCAGTGAGATTAACCTATTGGGCTGTGTAACGAAATGCCGTTTGTCACTGGATTTGTAGGTGACAAGTTGCCCTTTGCCCATGGCTGTTGGAGGAGCCTGAGTGCCAGCCTCCTGCCTTATGACTACGGCCCTGGGTTGTATGGCACTTTACAAACTTTATTTGGGCTAATGGATTTATATTGTGCTGCTGCTGGCCCTTTAAGACCTGCATTGTGGTTTATGGGACTGGTGCTGGCCCTTTAAGCACCTTTTTGGGGCATCGGGAAGATTTGGACACTGCCCCTTTAAGACGGTGTCCCCAGACTTGTTTGGGACACTGCTCCTTTAAGACAGTGTCCCCAGTGGTCCCAGACCTGGTTAAAACCCTTTGTTCCTGGCTATTTCCCACTTGGTTCAGTAAATGGGGCTTACTGAACCAAGTACCACACAGGCGGACCACCCAGAAGTGGAAGTGTGCAGGCAATTTACCTCCCAGAAGCTGCGGTTAACCGCAGCTTAATTGACAATGCTGGGTGGCCTTTGTTCGTTTGCCGAACACGTGGAGGCGGCCATCTTTGATCATTCGCACGAGGTCAGCAATATGTGTAGCCAAATTCATGGAACTAAAATCGGCTACACATTTCCGCGAACATCGCCGAGCCCTACCTTCTCCCACAATGGTTTTACAGCCGCAGAGACTAAGTCCCATTCGGCGATGGGATTTAGTCGTTTTTTTCAGCCTGAAATAGACCGACCGCACAGCCCAAATCTATGGAACTGTTTTGGGCAGGAAAATGTGCTTGCGGTCGGTCATAAAGGGACCTCCAGCTATCTTTTTAACCCCTGCAGGGATTTGGCTGATTTTTGGTTATGTTTATATTTAAAGTGTGCTGATTAATAATATGAAAGTGAATTTTTTCTAATTTTTTTTACACACAAATGTCACTTTCACTGATGATATCATTGTTGTAATACATTTTACTGTTTTGAAACACTAATATTTGTGTTCAGCGAAGTCCCCTGAGTATAGCGGTACCCCCCATGTACAGGATTTATAGTGTTTTTGAAAGTTACAGGATCAAATATAAGGCCGTTTTTTCACATTGAAATTTGCCAGATTGGTTATATTGTATTTGAGAGCGTATGGTAGCCCAAGAATGAGAATTACCCCCATGATGGCATGCCATTTGCAAAAGAAGACAACCCAAGGTATTGCAAATGGGGTATCTTCAGTCTTTTTTAGTAGTCACTCAGTCACAAACACTGGCCAAAGTTAGTGTTCATATTTGTTTTTTGTGTTTTTAACATAAACAAATATAAATGCTAACTTTGGCCAGTGTTTGTGACTAAATGGCTACTAAAAAAAGACTGGACATACCCCATTTTGAATACCGTGGGTTGTCTACTTTTCAAAAATATATGGTTTGATGGGGGTAAATTACATTGTCCGGCATCAAAAATGTCCCAAATAGGACATGGGTGCATGATGACCAGCTGTGAAAATTCCAGGTTGGAAATTGGAATGTGCACCCTCCAAATAAGGTCTTTTAGCACCCAGAGAACCCGACACACCTATACATGGGTGGTTTCACAGTACTCGGGAGATGTTGCTGAACACATATTAAAGTGTTCTTTGGCAGTAACCCTTAAAGTTCTCAGTACATATATTCTTAAACGGCTATGTGTTTTTTAAAAAAAATCACCAATTATTCTTTTATTTTAATTTGGAATTGATTGGTGGTACAATGGTTGCATGAAAAGAGTCAAAATACCCCAAGTGTAATACCTTAGGTTGTCTTCTTTTTTCAAAAAATCTATACAGATGAAGGGTTATTCAGGGATTCATGGCAGATATCAGTGTTACAATGTAACTTGAGTTAATTTTGAGAAAAAAATGGTTTGGAAATAGCAAAGTGCTACTTGTACTCATAGACCTATAACTTTCCATAAAAAGCTAAGTACATGTTAATATTGGGTATTTCTAAACTCAGGGCGCAATTTAGAAACTATTTAGCATGGGTGTTTTTTGGCGGTTGTAGATTCGTAACAGACTTTGGGGGTAAAAGTTAGAAAAGGTGTGTTTTAAAAAAAAAAATGTCATCATATTTTATTATTTGTTTTATAGTATATTGACAAAGTGCACTAGTGCTAGGTATTGTCCTATTGTGTTCTGCTCTGTGTATATTATCTCTGTATTTTACTCAGCTCTGTCTCTGGCATTGGTATCTCTGCATTGTGCCAGATATATTTATTTTATAGATGTATTTCTGTTGTGACCAGCTTTGTGTATTGAATGGGTATCTCTGTATTTGGGTCTGCTCCATCTTCTGCATGGATATCTTTTTCTTGTACTTCGTTCTTTGTGTTGTATGGGTATGTCTGTATTGTAACCATCTCTGTGTATTGTATGGGTATTTCTGCATTGTACTCAGCTATATGTATTGTATAGGTTTCTCTGTATTTTGTATAGATGTGAGTATTATATGGGTACTTCATTTGTTCATAACCGGTACCTTTCTTACCAGTTCCAGAATTCTCACCTATTACGTTTGTAGTGTTGACGCTGCTAATTTATCTTGCTAAAACCGCAACATTTACTGTACTGCCATATACTCAATGGATGATCTGTCCAAAACTATCATCCAGCTGATAGTCCTGCCAGAAGAAAAAAAGTAAGATGTATCATGTGGCAATATTTAACATTTTAGTAATGCAAATCCACTAGCTGGAAAGTGGCCCAACGTGTCTAGCACTGACTCATGCCCACTTCCTTAAACTAGAAAAGGTACAATTATATTTAGCTAATTTTCAATAATTCCTTTGGTGTAGATGGTATTATTACACAATTTCATTGCATTCATTTTACCAGGGAATTTTAGAGGAATTAAACCATTGATTTAAATTTACTGCACTTGGAGTGTGATTCACTAAACTATATATTGCCTTTGATTTTATATGTTTTGGTTGCTTATGTTACATGGGTCTGCTTTATGTACTGTTAGAATTATATCTCGGTATGAACCTAGGCTGTATCTATTGTTTCAATAGTGATTTGTTTAAATATATGAATGAAAGTTTGTTCGTCTCGAGCTAGTGTTTGTGTTTTTATTCAAGGAGGTTTTATGATACACACTTTAGAAGGTTGGGGCTACAGCTGTCACAGGCTAACAATTGACATAGTGCAACTAAAAGAGAAAAATGAAGACGCAAAGAGTAGTTTATGTCTATAAAGTTAAAGGAACACTATAGGGTCAGGAACAAACATGTAATCCTGACCCTACAGTGTTAAAACCACCATCTAGCCCCCCTGGCTTCCTCTTGCCTCCCTGTACATAGTAAAATCTTACTTGTATTTAAGTCAGTAGCTGCTGGTTCTGCCCCTGTCTACCTCTGATCTGCCCCGTCTGCCGACATCAGCAGAAGTGGTGGTCTGAGCCAATCACAGTACTTCCCCATAGGATTGGCTGAGACTGTCAAGGAGGCAGAACAAGGGCAGAGCCAGCACAAGTCAAACACATCTCGATCTACAGTCCTGTATCACTCTCTCGTCTCCCCATCCTGCCTAAATATGTGGTCCCGTAGTTCATTTTCAATGAATTTGTTTTTTTCAAGTGTAATGTGAGCTAGAAATTTCTAACAGAATTGTTAGGACATGCACATTTGTTCATTTGTTACACTTAATTAATAACTGTCTTATTAAACCATGTCTAAGCACTTTTCTACATAAAGGCATTCTACAAGCAGTGTGTTATGTTTTTTAACTTCTGCATTATTTTTCTACCAGCTGCAGTAAGTTCAAATCAGATTTGCAATTAAAAATAAAACCTGCCTGTCTAAGATCACAAGGCAAACTCTATTTCATCCCAAGCTAGCGAAGAATTCTCTCTCGAAGTAGAAACATTTACAGTATGTAGCATTAAATCAAACGGCTAATGTGACTGTCAAGATTTCAGGCTCCTAAAATCAGCACTATAATTAGCAATCAGTAATCACTGTTATAGTGGGATAAGGCTTGTAATCTTCAAATTACCTGTTTGCACCAATTACATCTTACTGATGAAACATTCCAATCAAGTGCATGTGTGCCTACTAAAAAAATATATATAGATATATTCCACATCAGGGATTGCCGCAAACATTAACACAGCAATGCTCTCCAGTCTACCACTTGAATTTATATGTCAATGCGGGTTTACTTGAATTCCTTAATCTTGTATTTAATAAAGTGTGAGCCCATGAATGGAAGCATAGGAGTATGTACTAAGAAGTGATACGCTTAAAACAACTCAGAGAGTAAACAATCTAGAATTTTGGGGTGTGTTTCTAAAATACCTATTAGTAAATATGCTTTTAATTTTAGCTTTAAAAAAGTTGTTTACCCTGAAACTTTGTTACAAGCTTCAATAATGCTGAATTTATTTTAAAAGAAATGCTGGAGTTATTGGCTTTCATTTGATTGGTAGAAATAAGCAAAGTATCATTTTATTCACATTTTTATTTTTTTAGAAAAAGGTTAAATGTTGTCTCTTCTACTGGTTTCCCTAGCACAGGTTTCCCCAAACTCCTGCCCTCCAGATGTTGCTGAACTACAACACCCATGGTTCTATGAATGAAATAGATAGGCTGAGAATCATGGGAGTTGTAGTTCAGACACATCTGGAGGGCCGGAGTTTGGGAAAGCCTGCACTATCACATCCTTTCAGTAGTTAATAAATTTGTGACTGGCACCCAGTGGACTCCAGGTAAGCTGTCATAGTGATTATGATGCCTGGAGTGTTCCTTCAACATGCTTTATTTTATAAATACCTTTGTGGGCCTTGACACTAGGTTGCGTGCACCGAATATATAGAATTATATTAGTCCGAATCAATTTGAGGGGAGATACAGGATTTGTCCATGTGGATTTCATCCATGCAATCACTTTTGGAATATGATTCAGACGAGCCAAAATAGTGTGAAAATTGGTCAGCACCAGTGGCGTACATACAAGGGTCGCAGGGGTCGCGGCTGCGACCGGGCCCAGCCCACCAGGGGGCCCGGCCGCCCCTGTGACCCGGTATGTACCTACAGGACCAGCCTCTTCTCCTGGGGGGGCCCAAGAGCCGGCCACCTCAGGCCTCCCCGAGGCTGGCCCTGCTGACCCCGGCGGGCGGGCTGTCTGAGTGGCCGGCGCGCGAGGGAGCACTCTCCCCTGTGTGCTCCCTCTTCCGCTCCCTCGCGCACCGCACTGATACCGGAGCCAGAAGATGACGTCATCTTCCGGCTCCAGCATCCCTACGCGGCGCGTGAGGGAGCGGAAGAGGGAGCACACAGGGGAGAGTGCTCCCTCGCGCGCCGGCCACTCAGACAGCCCGCCCGCCAGACCGGCCACCCAGGAGCCCCAGGAGCCCAGCAGCACCACTGGACCCCAGGGAATCCCCCCAGGACACCAAAAGGTAAGGAGGCTGGGGGTATTCAATTTAAAAAAAAACATGTGTTAGTATTAGTGTGTGTGTTAGTGTGTGTTAGTGTGTGTAAGTGTTAGTGTGTCTGTTATTGGGTGTGTCTGTTACTGAGTATGTCTGATGTCTGTTAGTGAGTGTGTGTTTCTCAATGAGAGTGTATGTTTTGTAAGTGAGTGTGTATGTATGTCTGTCGCTGAGTGTGTCTCTGTCAGTAAATGTGTGTGTCTGTTAGCTAGTGTGTATGCGTCTGTCCGTGAGAGTGTGTGTCTTCAGCATTTACCTTTCTCCAGCGCCGGACTTCCTTGGCGCTAGGGAGCCGCGTGTGCATTTAAACCGCCCATAGGAAAGCATTACTCAATGCTTTCCTATGGACATTCAGTGTCTTCTCACTGTGATTTTCACAGTGAGAATCGCGGAATCTCCTCTAGCAGCTGTCAATGAGACAGCCACCAGAGGCTGGATTAACCCTCAGTGAAACATAGCCGTTTCTTTGAAACAGCTATGTTTTCAGCTGCAGGGTTAAAACTAGCGGGACCTGGCACCCAGACCACTTCATTGAGCTGATGTGATCTGGGTGTCAGTAGTGGTCCTTTAGGTGTGTGTGCAGCATACCGCATTCGCGGGGTCGCAGCCCTGCGACCAGGTGCCCGCCGCCATGTGTTGCGGCCCCGACCACTGCCGTGTAAGCACGCGGGGGGGGGGGCACGGATCAATTTTTGCACCGGGGCCCCATGGGTCATGTGTACGCCACTGGTCAGCACACTGGTGCATATTTGTCATTTGGTTCTCAGATCAAGTGAGACGAAGAAACCAATGCAGTAAAAAATAAATAAATAAATATATATATATATATATATATATATATATATATATATATATACATATATCTACATATTTATAGATTATATATTTAATACATATATAAAATATATAGATTTTTTTTTTTTTTTTATTATTGTTCTTCCTTTTTTCGCTGTGTTGGT